GAGAAGTTAACTTTCGCAGTGGCTAGCACAGCGTGCCAACAACCACGAAGTCCCACGGTCGATAGACAGCTCACGCTTGCTCCTTTTTTTGCTTTTTTTCGTCTCGCGATCGTGCCACCAGAAATGGGCTGGCCCAGCTTAGCTGCGCCCTTTGCGAAACGTCCGCACTTTGCCGCATCGAGCGGCATATAGGAGGTCCAAGGACGTCCTGTAGGAAAAATGTTGGTTTCTCTAAAATTTATAAAATTTCTTTAGTGGTCACATCTCAAATTCCAAATGCAAACAAGGATTTTAATTGTGAGAAGTTGGAAATTTTCCATGATCTATACAACAAATTTGCCATGATGTTTTCTCTGCAAAAGCCTTCAAGTAGGGTGAAGCTACCATGCTTTAGAAAACCAAAATTCTAAAAAGTTGGCATGTGAACATTTCAAAAATATGTAAATTTTCCATGTGCCAACTTGAAAAAAATCATAAAAATGCCATCTTAACATTATATGCAAATTATATGAATTTTCCATGTTTGAAAAAACTAATATGTTACTAATTTGACATGTGACCTGCAGGAAATTTTTCAAATTGAGAATGTGTAAATATGTTTTTCTTAGAAAAATACAAAAATATGTAAAATTGACATGTGCCAAATAAGAAAACATTCCCAAAATTGTCATGAATAAGGGAGAAAAATTACTAAAGCTTGCCATGGGGGCATTAAAAAAAGAGCTAAATTTGCCATGTTTGGAAGACAAAAGATGTTATGAATTTGTCATGTGACTAGGAGAAATATATTTCTCCTTGTTTTTACTCTAGGAGAAATATGTTGACATGCCAACGTTAAAAAATGTTTTACTTGTCATGTGTCATCGCACGTGTGCAGACTACACGCGAGACACCAGGGACTGAGAACGTCCCTTGCCGGTTCGTACACAGGGTGCAAGGTGAGGATCTATCCCAAGAAGAAATGCATGACAAGACATAATGATTTACCCAAGTTCGAGCCACATGGTTGCGTAATACCCTGCTCCTACTTTGAGTGTGGATTATTTGGTGAACAGAGAGCTATATATCCTTTCCGGGAACGGGGGTAGTAGTGTGGCTTCTATTGTTATTCTACCAAGTCTCCAACCTAGAGCAGATCCAGCTGACCTGCCCGAAAAGTCTCCTAAAAATTCCCCTATTCCTCAGTAGCTTGGTACCACAATGGCTTCGCTACTAAGGAAAATACCTAGTCAAACTAGATAGGTAGGTGCAATGAATGAGTGACGGTGTCATCGTCTTCTGGCTCCTGGGAACGAACTGCCATCTTGCCACCACTGCCCATGGTGCCACTTGAGCTGGGCATGACATATCTCTGTACAGGTGTGCACCATGTGGTGAAATAATGGGGTGATTCATACTGCACGTCTTGTCTCTCCACTGGCACGCCTGCACCCCCACCATGTGGCACGAGCTTTGTGTGGGCAGAGCAGACGCGCCACGCGTGGGAGGGAGGCGGTAGCTTGCTATCGATGCTTGCTAAGCACGGGCTAGCTGGAGGGGTCATTTGCCAGGCATTGGCGTTCCCGTATGATGTCCGTCTGGCTCGTTGTCGGGCGGCTCGGCCTTGTTCCTTTTGGCACTTGTTTGGCTTGGAGAAGGATGCAACAGATCTTGAGGCATGCCTCTACGGAGCTTAGGCTCCCTCTTGAAGATGTTTGTTGATGATGATTTTGACCAAGATCTGCATACCACCACAGAGTGGTGGAGGTAGCTTTTTGTTGGTGGAGAGCTCCTTTGTCCTCTTGGTTTTGACCAGGAGGCGACCATGATCCCTGCGCAGTTGGCTCCGTGAACCCAGTGGTCACGGTACCGACACCATGTGACAAGTTTAAAAATTCATTGTTTTGCCATGTGGGCATTGTGAAATAATTAAAATTTACCATGTTTAGAAAACAAAAAAATGATATGAATTCTCCTAATTTGTTGTATGTGTAAACCTAAATTGAACATTCACACACAAGCAGAAAAATTTGCCATCTGTGTGAAACTAAAATTGCCATTCAACATGAGTAGAAAATTGCCATCCCACCTCAAAATGCCATACTATTTATGCATGGCAAATGGTATAAAATTTGAAAATAAAAAAGCTAACAGCAGCAACTATAATTTTGTTTGGCAATTGTAGAGAGACAATTTTATACAATAAACAAAGTCTTGTAAGAACATAATTATTGTAGAAAAACTGTTTTTAGGACAACATGTAATTATAAAGAAGTGTATGCAACACGCCTCAAATGTATCGACATACTTTGGGAGTTTCTAGCAATGCAAAATAAAAAGCATTTGTTAGATGTATCAACTAGAGTGTGTTTGACAAACACTGAAATTATTGATGATGGTGGTCCGGATTTGCTGTGTTGGGATCTCACCCCAAATGGTATTTGCTCTTCTAAATCTGCTTACAAGCTTTGCCTCCATGAGCTTCATAATAATCCTAGAAATGCCCCTATGGATATTCCTTTGGATTTGAAAGACTTTCTCGAGCTCATTTGGAAGCAAAAAAGTTTGCTCCCTCGTGTTCAAACTTTTGCTTGGAGACTTCTTTGTAGGGCTTTGCCTACGGGCATGAGAGCTGGCCGCTTCTCTGTTCACATCTCTCCGTCTTGTTGTAGATGCGGACAGCAGAAGGATGAATTTCACCTCTTTTTTCTCCGCGACTTCGCGAGAGCAGCTTGGTTTTCTTCTCCTTGGTTTATTCGAGCGGATGTTCTTACTCAAGGGCACTCTTCTATGCATTCCATTCTCATCTTTCTTATTAATATGAGTCACCCTCATGCTTCTATTCAAAATGTTCTTAATTTTTTATGGTGCCTATGGAAAGCTCGAAATGATTTTCTTTTTGATAGGAAAAATCATCGTCCTCATCAGGTTAATATTGCTGCTACAACTTTGGACTTTGGGCATTTGCATAATCTTCACAATCCTTCTTCTGAGCAGCCTCTTTCTACTAATCATCATTCTACTGATATTTTACCTAAGCAGGGCAAAACGCTTAAATCGGATTTGTTAATTTTTGGGACTAAAATTTTCTCTGATGCAGCATTTAGATCGTCCAAAATCCCAGGACTCGCTCGAGGACATGTGGGCACAGGTATAGGTGTTTATATTTCCATGCCTTCGGATCAAGGTGAGATTAGTATTGAGGTTCAAGCTTCGGCCTCTTCAACTTCAACTCCCCTTCAAGCCGAGGCAGTTGCCCTTTCTTGTGCAGCTCACCTTGCCGCTCAGCTTATTACTAATCCCACGTTTCTGACGGACTGTCTTTCTCTTGCTTCTGCTGCTGCCTCAAGAAATATTTCAGATTCTGCTGCTCATTGGAACATTAGAAAAAAAGTTGGCTATTTTTCTCAAAGTTACGTCTAATTTAGCTGCTCAAGTGTTTCATGTTTCCAGGGAAATCAATGGTGTCGCTCATAATCTGGCTCAGCAGGTTTTCCGATCTGTCGGAGAGACGCAAGTTGCTTGTTTTGCTCATGCTCACTCAAATTCTCCATGTCCAGTGGTGGCCCTTCTTTCAAACTTTCAACTTGCAGGTATTCAACTGCACACGGTGCATTGCTTCTAAGGCAGGTCAAGCATCTCTGGCACATAATGTTGTTGGCAGTTTTCTTGCCCAACGATTCATTCTTTGGGTTGCTTGTTTGGAGGAGATCAGAGTATTCTTTGTTTTCTTTTTCTCAGATGTTTTCTCCTCTAGTTCTGATCATGTTGCTCAGGGCATAGTGCTTCTGGCCACTTTGCCCTACTAGGATCCTTTCTTCAGCCCCCCCTCATAGTTTCTGCATCTTTTCTTTCCATCTTTGGCAGATCTATGTAACACACTTTGTTCAATCTCTTTGAGTTGTATGAAATATGTGGCACCTTTTGGTGCCTTTGCTTGTTCAAAAAAAAAGAGTGTGTTTGACAAGTCAAGAATCGTGACTAGAACGAAGATGAGCGTAAGTAATCATGGTTTTTTTCGTCACTAAGGAAGTTCAGTTTTACTGGAAACAATAATGACAATAAGTGTTAAATTGAGAAAAATTAAAGAGTAAATGTGCGTGCAAGGATTTGCCAAAAGAATGCACTATTTAGAGCGTAATTGGTTTGATGTCAAATTTATACTGTACGTGACAACCAACAAATGCTCGGGTCACTCACTCCGCTGGTTCTGCTTATCATGTTGGAATTATGTGTCCTGCAACTATATTCAAATTATTAGGAATTACTAGTATTCGGAATACCTCATTATGGAATTATACGTGTATTTATTCATGGAATTACTTTACATGATTATCACGGAATTATCACTTGCTGAAACGTACTTAAGTTGTATGATTAAGGAAGCTGGTCGATTATCAGTGGAATACAATATGCTATTTATATTGGAAAGACTACCCGGGTACAATGATAATCGGAAGGAGCTAGATCATATAGTTAGATTACAGCTCTGATGCTGGTCTACATAATTAGAGGAATTTACACTCTATTATGGCGCATTGATCACAAGCGTGTGCTCCGGGGACATAACGGGTAGAATTCGTTAGAGGAATTTGATCTGGACTCTATCCCGGAAAATTAGTTGAAAAGACTAGGAATCTTATCTGTAGAAGAGATGGACTCTTTGAAAACACAGTATAAGAAGGTCCCTACCCCCTAGCCTCAGATATGCGAATTGTGAACGGTACCACGAATAAGCACAGAGGAATAGGGGTAGACAACAAACCCTCAATTTTCTAACATATCATACATGCATGCCCCGAATAAGTATTTGAAAAGGCATTTTTATTATCTTTGTAATGTCACACATGAAGAAGATAGCGCATGTGCCCTAACCCACGATTGCTGAGCACCGCAATTTTTTCTGATCCACTGTGCATCCTTCTTTCGAGCAGCAGCACCGCCACCAATTCGAGGCCTACTGTTAGCAGTAGAATCCGCCTTAAATGGTCGGCTCGCTGATCACTAGTGTGTGTCACTGGTCAGTTTTTCGTACTATGCAGTTTCTGGAGCAGCGGCAGCAGACCGTGCTTGGCGAACTCGGCGATGCGGTCGACGTCCGGGATGACCTCCTTGGCGGCGTCGAGCGCGGCAAAGCGGTCCGCCCAGGCCGCCAGCAACGGGGTCCGGGCGGCGTCCAGGAGGTTCACGCCGGCCACCGCGTGGAACGCGCGCATCCACGCGACGAACCCGCCGAGCGCGATGTCCACGTACCCCGGGCCGTCGCCGCCGAAGAAGGGCTTGCCCTTGGAGCACTCGCCGAAGGCGCCCTCCATCTTCTGCAGCGCTGCCGCCGCGGCTTCCGTCGCCGCCGCCCTCTCCTCGTCCGTCGTCCCCACGAACGCCTTGATCCACGACGCAAAGAACTGCACCGCCAAACGCACGCACGCAAGGATCTACGATTAAGTAGCAGAAAGGTGTCGGTGTTCATCTGCAATATTGCTGCATTCTTACCTGGTCGTCGGCGTAGGCGGCCCAGAAGCGCGCGACGGCGCGGTCGTGGGGGTCGGCGGGGAGGAGGGCGGGGCCGGAGCCGGGGAAGGCCTCGTCGAGGTACTGCACGATGAGCATGGACTCGCAGACGGGCTTGCCGGCGTGGAGGAGCACGGGGACCTTGGTGTGGACGGGGTTGGAGGCGAGGAGGAGGTCGCTCTTGTTGGTGAGGTCCTCCTCGGCGTACTCGTAGCCGGTGAGCCCCTTGAGGTGCAGCGCGACCTGCACCCGGTGCACGAACGGGCTCACCCAGGCCCCCAGCAGCTTGAGCTCGTCACTCCCTCCTCCCGCTGCTCCGGCCGCCATGTCGTCGGACGAACTGATTTCTCGCGTGCTCTCCGGCCAATGGCTGAGGTTTTTGTTCTGCGCTCCGAGGGAAGGACGGCACAGCACACGATCTATAGTCATATAGATAAGGTGATAAGGTGATTCTTGTGGTCGTTACAGTGCGTATGTACCCTGCGATGTAGACGGCGGCTATAAGCATGGCGGCCCCCGGCCCTACGACAACGATAGAAAATATTCTTGTGGGGGGCTGGGCGTTGGACGGTGAATAGATAGCCATCACACTAACTCCTTCGTCTACAAGTATGACCAGACAGCGCCCTCGAATAAGTTTTTTCTACCGGAGCCGGGAGCTACCGGTGGAGAATCTACCGTTCAATTGCTTTCTCTGAGATTCGCGCCAGCTTTTTATGTATAAAGTAAAAATAATTTACTATGCAATACAAACATGTACAGTACATAAAGGAATACATCTGTGCATGTCAGATGTGTGGCAGCTTTAGAGATGACTTAGTGGGTGACTGATTAAAAGGACGGTGCATGGGTTCTCTCCCCCAAACAAAGTAGTTGCATTTTATTTGCTCGTCATATTTTGAATGGTTAATAACTTATGAGCGAAATTTCCATTAATGAATTTTTTTGTACATTTGAATTCAGGGTGATAAGACCTTTAAAACAAGACCGGTCTTGGATACAATTTAGCTAGATTGAATTTTTACTGTTTCAATTAATTTCACATTACACAAACTATGATTTTACTCATTTGAATAAACAAAGAGTACTCATTCCGAACAAATTATTTCACTGATTTGAAATACAGCTTTCACTCATTTACAAATTGATTTTATTATTTCAAAATAGTATTTCATATATTTCAAACAACTGATTTCACTCAGTTGAAAAAACTTATTTCACTCATTTCAGAGAACACATTAGATTCACTCATTTGAAGTACTATATTCCACTCGTTTAAAAAACTTATTTCACACATCACAAAAAATATATTTTCAAACTACCACTCGTTTCAAGAAACTAATTTCACTTATTTCAGAAAACACATTACATTCAGTCAATTGAAATACAATATGTCACTTGTTTCAAAAAAAGTGATTTTACTCGTTACAGAAGCTCATTTCACTAGTTTCAGAAAACACATCACACTCACAATATACAGAAATAAATAAGGATTTTTCACAAAAATAATATTTCAATTTTTTCACTCATATAAAATACATCATTCAAACACATATTTCTCGGAAATAATTAGAATCTATGAAATTTGTGAAATTAGATTTTTGAACTAAGTTAAATATATGAAAATAGCTACTTTTTGAAATGTGTGAAACCTGTTATTTTTAAATCTGACTGACATAAGCAATTTCACACAGAGTGAAATAACATGTTTCATATGTTCCATATATAGAGTAAAATAAGTTTTGAACACTGAAATAAGCAGTTTCACATAGAATATATAGAGTGAAATAAGTTAACTGAAATGTTGAAAATTAAATGTATTTCAAATGTATTCAAAATTGAGCTTGTTCTAAAGGTCTTGACACCCGGAGATCAAATATATAAAATATTTCACATATGTAATTTTGATTTAAAAGATATGAACGGTTGAAAATGTCAAATGAAATTTAAATGGGTACCTTTTTATGGGAGCCAGAGGAGGAAAGTATGTCTGAGCCATGCATGCATCGTACTGACAAAAGGTGCTGACAAGAGTTGACAAGACATTTCATACATGGTGGTGTTCAGCAGAATACAAAAGAATACTTGTATGCATGTAGACAGTGTGCACCAATCTCCAAGAATTTAAGGGTGGATTTAGCACCGGTACATCCCTGCACCGGTAAAAAGAGGTTTGCGACAATGCCCTTGATTGCGAACGAGCGGTCTAGTTGGCAGTTGAACAAACTTCTTTGTATTTAGTCGCCGCCCTCACAGAAATGGCTGGCACAACCTTCGAGGAATATACCTTCTGCATTTTTATGTGTTTTTTATAAATTTTCTATCCATTCAAAATCGATCATGACAATACCGAGAATACCAGAGCTAATAAGATTACAATCCACCCATCAACGCTAGCAGCTGTCATCGCCACTCTCTCCTTGAAACCGGGCAAACCATCGCGCTACGGCCCCATAGGACCAACGCGGTCAGGGCAACAACTATGCCGATGAAGAGAGTCATAAATCGACAGGATCAAATCTGCAAACACAAGGACGAAGATGAATGAAAACTAGACCCAAACAGATCCACGGAAGACCAACACCGGCCGAATCCCATGAGAATCGACAAAGACACGCCTCTACACGCCCTATGAGGATGCTAGACCCACCAAGAGTGCGGGGATCAGATGTGAGAGGCATTATTCCTACCGAGGGACATTGTCGTTGTCACACATCCCCAACCAGCCCAAGGGTATCCCTCTTTTTAAGGAAAACACAACCTCAACCAAAATGCTGAACACAAGAAAAATGAGAGCGGAGTCTCCCGCCTGACGGGAGCCAAGATCCCTTACATCTGCATGACCCAAAAGGCCATCGAAGGCGGGGGGACCAGCGAGAGCACGTTTTTGTGTGTTCAGCGGTTCTAATATTGTTTCAGCGTAGCTAGCGATGCTAGAGAAACCAGTGGCGGTGCCAGGAATCCAATCATGTGTGGTTAACTGAATGTTGTGTAGTTAGATGTATGCATTTATAATATTTTCTGGCATAATTTCTACTTGATGTAAGTAGCTTTTGCCAAAAACTGTGTAGTCAATTGACTACCCAGCCTATGTGTGAGAAACAATGATATTTTGCCCACAATAGTACATAGCGCAGATACCTACTCCTCCGTCTTAAAATATAAGAACGCTTTTGACACTAGTATAATGTAAAATACCTTCTTATATTATGAGACGGAGTAAGTACTATTAAGCTCCTCCCCTTATTACACATTCTAGCCAGAAATTGTAATGGACGACCATATCGCACAGAGGTACAAAAGTAGACCAGTCCCAACTCTAACCGTGTCCCGTGGAGAACTCATCGTACAATTGAAAAGGAAACCCGTATGATGTCGTGCACATGGTACACAAAGAGTTACTGTGTGCAATGACGCTGTCATCAAAATGATTTGTGCCGAACTATCGTATGCAATGTTGTGCACGCGATTCACAGAGAGCAACCGTGTGCGGTGAGGGGCGTCGTTGTACATTCCTGCCGATGTATCGTGTTCGATGGCGTGCACACATTTAGTAAGAAATGAACGTGTGCGATGTGTGTACTATGACACACCAACCAATAAATTTGCATGCATCGCCGATCGACAAACCTCACGGACAAGACTTGCCTTTGCCTGCTCCCCGCGTGTGTGCCCATCCGTGCTCCCGCATACGTGGCTTGATTTGATTGGAACAAAATAAGGCCCGACCTCACCCTCTTAAAATCAGGGGGGATGATTATATTAGAAAGGAAAAGGGAAAAAGGACAGCCGTAGGATGAAGTGGGAGCACGGATGGGAGCATGGGGAGGGAGCAGGCAAGCCGGATCCAAACCTCACATCCGTTTCTACCAGCATTAGTCTGACTCAGCTAGCCCTCTCCCTCTCCCATTATGTCTGTGTGACTGTGTTGTCGACCCCCCCTATGTAACCGCATCGATGCCAACTGGCCAGTATGGAGCGCTGCTCCCGCTGGTGGGGCAAGCATCGACGACGCCGCGCACTTCACTCTTTAGAGCATCTCCAGCCGCTGTGTCCCCTAGAAGGTGTTTTTTCGGCCTTCTCGAAGGCACCGGCGGATTTTTTGCATTAAGAATGACAAATTTTCCAGCCCCCCCCCCCCACTCAACCGACGAATGCACTGCGTACTCGCCCACCGAGCTCGACCGCCGCCACTCCGTCCTCGTGCCCCGCATGCCGGGTGAGGACCCCGGCGAGCGTGGACGCGGGCGTGACTCGTGGGGTGACCATGGAGAAGATGATGCCCGCCTTGATAACTGGCTGCCTCGCCTTGATAACCCACAAGTATAGGAGATCGCAACAGTTTTCGAGGGTAGAGTATTCAATCCAAATTTATTAATTCGACACAAGGGGAGCCAAAAAATATTCTCAAGTACTAGCAGTTGAGTTGTCAATTCAACCACATCTGGAAAACTTAATATCTGCAGCAAAGTATTTAGTAGCAAAGTAATATTGATAGTAGCGGTAATGGTAACAAAAGTAACAGTAGCAGTTTTGTAGTGATTGTAACAGTGGCAACGAAAAAGTAACTAACCGGAGATCAATATGTGAAAACATCGTAAGCAATGGATCAGTTATGGATAATTATGTCGGATATGATCAATCATGCAATACTTATAACATAGGGTGACATAGAACTAGCTCCAGTTCATCAATGTAATGTAGGCATGTATTCCGAATATAGTCATACGTGCTTATGGAAAAGAACTTGCATGACATCTTTTGTCCTACCCTCCCGTGGCAGCGGGGTCCTATTGGAAACTAAGGGATATTAAGCCTCCTTTTAATAGAGTACCGGACCAAAGCATTAGCACTTAGTGAATACATGAACTCCTCAAACTACGGTCATCACCGGTAAGTATCCCGATTATTGTCACTTCGGGGTTAACGGGTCATAACACATAATAGGTGGCTATAGACTTACAAGATAGGATCAAGAACTCACATATATTCATGGAAACATAATAGGTTCAGATCTGAAATCATGGCACTCGGGCCCTAGTGACAAGCATTAAGCATAGCAAAGTCATAGCAACATCAATCTCAAAATATAATGGATACTAGGAATCAAACTCTAACAAAACTAACTCGATTAAATGATAAATCTCATCCAACTCATCACCGTCCAGCAAGCCTACGATGGAATTACTCACCCACGCGGTGAGCATCATGAAATTGGTGATGAAGGAAGGTTGATGATGACGATGACGAAGGATTCCCCTCTCCGGAGCCCCGAACAGACTCCAGATCAGCCCTCCCGAGAGAGATTAGGGCTTGGCGGTGACTCCGTATCGTAAAACGCGATGAATCCTTCTCTCTGATTTTTTCTTCCCGAACATGAATATATGGAGTCGGGATGGACGTCGGTGGAGCACTAGGGGGCGCATGAG